AATTCTGTTTTTCGGTCTGTTGGATTTATGGAACTTATTAGGTATTTATTTTATTTAACATTTTTTCGGATTTATTTATACACTCAACGATCTTGTTAGATATTAAATAGAGATTGCATTTAGATATAGATCTAGGAATGACAGTATTTGAGGCTGTCAAAAAGTCCTGTCGTCATTTAGACTTGTTTTATGTTTTAATTAAAATCTTTGGATCTACCTGGTTTTTTTAGAAGTGGCTCACCACTATAACATTTTATTTTTCAGACAAAAAAGCGAGATTCGGTATGTTAGTATATGACATAAATCAAGATGGATTGACGTATTCAATTAGTTTCGATTACTTCCTGTTTCACTGGAAACGACACCACCTTTTGATTTTTAAATGGTATGTACCGTCAGTATTTTTTTACTTTATTTGATTGAAAATGGCATTATCAATACGTTGACATATATCAAATTTTGATATAGGGGTGAGCCGTTTTTGAAAAACACCCCGTATATATATTCTAAAGGTGATTATTTTGTGAGGATGTTATTACAGTCCTATAATATCGGACTTGGAAAGATCACCATCATCATGATATTGAATGAAATATAATAATCAGAATAAAGTTGATGATGATTAAAAATAGATGGAGAATATCTTAACCATTCAAGATTCGCTGATGACATAGATATTCATAATTGCAAATAGTCCTGAAGAACTACAATCACTAATTAATGAACTAAATACAGCCAGCAATAAAGTGGGTCTCAAAATGAATTTAGCAAAAACTATAGTAATATGCAAGGAACTAGTGGGAAAAAATGACATTCTAATAAATAACACTTTACTGGAAATAGTAGAAGAATATATATTTGAGACAACTTATACACAGCTCGGGATCTCTACTACCAGAAATCAACAGAAGAATTAAGTTAGCATGGAGTACTTATATGGAAGAAAGTCAATCATATTCAAATCTAGAATGCCACTTCTATCTAAAGAAGAAAACATTCAACCAATGTGTACTACCAGTCATGACCTATGCATACGAAACCTGGACACTTAAAACGGACATCATAAAGAAACAGCAGGTCGCATAACGCTCAATGGAACGAAATATACTAGGAATAACCAAGAGAGACCGTAAAAGGAATAGAGTGGATACGACAAAAGACTCAGATAATATTTATTATCCACAGAGGACACCTGGCAAGAAGGACGGACAACAGATGGACCACAACAATTACAGCATGGTACCCACGAGGAATTAAGAGACCTAGAGGAAGACCAAACCTGAGATGGGACCATGATATTAGAAAATTAGCAGGGATAACTTGGGCCCGCATAGCCAACAATAGACAACAATAATGGGCCCAACTACAAAGAAAGTATGTGAGGGAGGCTACACCATAATTGGAAATGGTTGAATAAGCTGAAAATGATAATAAAGATGATGATGATGGTATCTGGGAAATGAAACTTTGGATTTCACATTTAATAATATCATCATTTAAAAAGAGAAAAATGACAACGATGAAGTGTCATTTTATTTAAAATATTTCATCTCTTTCCGATTTTGTTCTTCCGAAAGTAGTAGGTATTTTTAATAATATAAATGGTTATTATAAAACGCTTAATGTCCTCTACTTTGAATCATAATATTTATAGCAGTTACAGCTTTGCTTACGTTTTAAGTATTCTAACAATAATTCTGCAATAATGATGAAGGCAGAAATAGAAATTAAATCAGAGAGGTATATTTTTTTCTCTTTGAAATGTATTCATCCTGACTTTACCACCATTTTCTTAGAATCGATTTTATTTCTGGATTTCTCTCAAGAAGTACAAAGGCCCAGCGGTCCTTGTTGCCTGCTTTTTAAACTCGTAAACGTTAGCAAATCGCTCGTCGCTTGTTCGTCGCAAACATAATTTCATTTGCCTTTATATAGCCGGTGCGGCATATGATGTAGTCGTGTTTATTTTCAGTCTCGCCAAGTTTAGGTTCGAATTTACTGCTGCAGGGGTCGCGCAGATTGTACAGAGTGCGTAGCAGGATGTTGCAGGATTCGGTTTTGTGCCCCGACACGGGTTATTACTTGGTTTGGAGCGGCAGCTAGGTTAACGTAAATATGTCCCACACACAATTACATACTAGCTGAAAAAGTTTCCTATGAGTATAAATAGATTAGATTAAGAATCCAGTCCTGTCCTTTTCAAAATCTGTAGCAGCTTGGAGACTGAACCCTCCATATAGTTCTTCAGCGTCTTATCAACGACCTATCATTGCTTAATACAAAGAATCGCACATTTGCCAGGCTGTCGCACTTTATAAAATGATTTTACGGATAATACTATATCCAGTGACTTACGATCACACCATTAAATCTTGGTGCGATTCTAATCTCCTATGACTCAACCTATCAAAAACTAAAGTTTTGTCATTTAAAAGGGGATCATCATAAATACAACCTTTTGTACTTAATAACACCACTATTGACGTCGTGGAATATTAGGACTTGTTGTAGACAACTCGTTAAAATGGAACTTGCACATCGAAGCTTTACCAAAGAAACTAAGCACTGCCTGTTTCACTTTCTAAGGAACTTAACTTATCAACCTCTAGAATAGTCTATTATGCCCTTTTTGAGTCGCATCTTCTTTATGCCCTTCCATTCTGGGGTACTTGCTGCGCGACAAAATTTGATCGTATTTTCAAACTTCAAAAGAGAGCAGTTCGATATTTATTGGGACTGAACAGTAGAACTCACTGCCAGAATTTCTTTAGAAATTTCAAAATACTGACTCTTCCTTCTTTATTAATTTTTGAATCCATTTGCTTAATCCGCAAGCACATATCTGCTATTCCCGAAAGGCCACCTCACAACTATCCACTTAGGAATGCGGATCACAATCTATGGAAGAAACCCAAGAGCTCAGAACCCGAGCCAAGAGCCAAGAGCCAAGAGCCAACCCCGAGCTCAGAACTAGTTAAAGGCAAAGAAATGTACAATCATCTGCCTTTGGATATCAAGTCGCTTTCATTCTTTCCCGCAATTCGCCAAGCTCTGAAATCATACTTACTGGAGAGAGCCTTATATGCGGTAAACGACATTTTGTTGATGTTTAATCATGAACAATTTTAAATTTTAAAATTTTGATCATCTCACATACTGGTTAAAGTCTAGTATTTAATATTTTATGACTCTTAAATGAATATATCCATTTACAATTTTTCTATTGTAAAATTTTATTGATACGTGTCTTTTTTTGTGTTCTGCAATGTCCATGTGTGTTCTATTTGTAATTTTAATGACGTAAATTTTTTCGAATTGTATGATATTTTTTATTATTTGTATATTTTTTTACTTTTGTTTGTTTTTTAAGTGCTTTCTCGATGAAGCTATTTTGGAATTTTGTACAATAAAGCTTTTATTTATTTATAATGGTTCTGTCGTTTCTTTTTTCATATTGGCAATTCTGCCAATTTGAAAAAAAACTGATGGGATTGTAGATTCCTGCAACCCCATCGGCTCTAGATGCGTATTAAGCTTACAATATGTCCTGTTAGTAGACCAACTAAAGCTTTGACAGTTCTTCTGACTTTGCTTATCAGGTCTACCGTAAATTTTGGTGAATGTTCTACTTTCTACTATGAACTTTTTCGCGCGTCTCTGCCCTGGAGAATTCCTTAGTCATTCTATAGATTTGCTGGCCACCTACGATTTTGTGACCATTCCAGTCGGCAGTTTGATTTCGGGAAAGGCCGATATCGACTCTGAAATTCAGCACACCGAATTAACAGCGCCTCAAGAGCATTCTGGAAAGACAGAGTTTTCTACAATCATGCCTTGAGCACAAAAACGAAACTTGCAGTGTACCGAGCAATAATAATTCCCACCATGTTATATGGAAGCGAAACAGGTGTCGTATCGCCGGTACATAAACGCATTAAAGAAGTTGCAACAGAGACACCTTAGACAACTGTTAAGAATGAAATGGTTCCACCATATCTGAAACGTATCGGTCCTTGTAAACGCTAGCAGTAACCATCAATTCAAAGTTGGTCAAAGAATGCCTACAGAAGCTCAACAAATCACCAAGGGATAAAAGGTAATGTAAAAGCAAATGATCTAGCTAGAAGAGGAGCGAACATTCTACTAACTGGACCAGAACCGTTCTGTTTTCCAAGCGGGAACCAAAAGCGGAACGAAGAATCTGAAGAACCTGGAAAGCGGAACTGAAGAATCTGGAAGAATACATCCCTAACCTGGAATGGGTGTCCTCCAGCGGTCTGAGACACTCGAAAAAGTTCCTCAGAACTTACGACCGATAAAAATCAAAGGTTTTCCTTGATTTAATTAAAAACAATCTTCAGATTGTGCCGATGGGGTTTCTTACAGGACACTGCCTCCTCAACGAACACATCAGTAGGCTGAAGCTGAGAAACAACGGCGAATAAAAATTCTGTGGGGAAAATGGGGAAACACCAGAACACCTTATCTCTGAGTGCACCAAGACGACGACCATTCGTGCCATGAACTTTGGTATGGCTGGTGTCGAGTCAGATACTGGCTTTTGTTAAAGCCTTGAGACTGTATGATGAGTTATAACTCGTAACTCAAGAAAGGTGAATACACGATAGATCTGTAAGGTCGCGGTGATTAACTCCTCTCCTAAACATTCTACATTCTACAAGAATATACGACTCTCCAAAAAGAGAATAACTTTACCCATCACTAATAATTACATATGAAAACAATTACTTTATGCGTAATCAAACATACAGTAGCCGCGAACATAATATTAAATGCATTACGCCATCGCCCAATGAGCGACGAGCCAGCTTCACTTCACCCATTTCGGTACCCATGGCAAGCCTCGGCTGCCGATCGTCAAAGCGCAATTTGTAAAAGCGCCTAGGCGCGCGTCAAAGTAAACACGGAGAGCTGCAGGCAGGCGGGCAACAGCACAACACCGGGAATCGTTTGAAAATGGAACTTGGACGCTCGCTCGGCGCTTTAGTTGCCGGAAAACTGTCTCTGGGTTCGAGGCTTGCGATCGGGTTGTATGGGTCTGCTCTAGGTCGTTTTTTTTTACGTCGGCGATGTTGTTTCCGTAGTTCCCGCGCTCGGAATCTTACAATAGAATAGTGCGTCTTTTTTGTTTGTCTTCCGTTTCAATGCGAGAAAGTGGATGGTGTTTGTAACGTCATTTAAAAGTAAAAGAATTTTTTTCACGATTGTTTCAAATTTAAAAAATACGTAAAAATAAGATTTATTTTTTATATCAACATAGGTTCATTTCTGTTTTTTTTTGGTACTACCGTAGCTACAGGGGGTTAGAGTCTTCGTTTTTTTTGTTTGATTTATTACAATTTTCTTCTAAGAGCTTTTAGCGATTCGAATGAAATTTTGAGGGTTACAGTTACTATAAGTGCTACATATTTTAGTGCAAAATAAGTGTTAACAGATTCACCAGGAACGTGCATATACCGGGTGCGTCTCAAAAGTGGCTCACAACTTTTTTTTATTTTTCAGATAAAGAATGAGATTTGGTATGTTAGTATATGACATAAATTAGGATTGACTGACGCATTCAATTGTTTTTGGCCACTTTCTGTTTCGCCAGAAATGACTACAACTTTTAATTTTTAATTGTACCCTCGGCATTTTTTAACAAACGAATAGGTTAACAAAGGAAAAAAATACCGAGAGTGCCATTTAAAAATCAAAAGTTGTAGTTATTTCCGGTGAAACAGGAAGTGACCGAAAATAATTGAATACGTCAATCAATACTAATTTATGTCATATACTAACATACCAAATCTCGTTTTTTTATCTAAAAAAATTAAAAAGTTATAGGGGTAAGCTACTTTTGAGACGCACCCGGTACATGAGTTATCACTGGAATATTTTTCTAAAAAAACATGAGCTCCACTAACTAACTAAACAACCTAACCTAACTTTTTTCCTTAGCAAAATCGTGTTAAAATTATGATTATTACAAGTTGTATCTTTCAAAAGCTTTGATTTCGATCTCATTTATGAGATAAACGCAAATTTATTAATCACGATTAATAAAATAAACGTAAAAATAAAATTAATAAATTATTTATTTACGCTAATTTATTACTAAAGAGTAAATCTCATTAAAATTTATAAAATAGAAAATATATTATCATAAACACCAGCGTAGAATTAAATTTCTATATTAGCAGTTAAGCGGCAAGAATCCTTATATAATTTTATTAAAATTTATAACACTGAAGTTCAGTCCTACCTACAGCAATTTAAAAAATGGTATTTGATATTAATTACAAAAAACATATATTTTAAAAGTTTTAACATCCCCTAACTTTAAAATTATACATCTCCCGTGTTCATAGGAACTTTTTTCATATTTTGTGATGATGAATCAATGCATATTTTTGGTTTGGTTTTTTAACACTGGTTATGTAACACTTTGGCCAATTAATAATATTATTTTTTTTTAAAGTTTGCTATTAGTCTTGGATTAGGGCAAGTTAATAGACTTGTATTTATCTCATCAAAGAAACCGAAAAACGACAAAATATCATGATCATCATACAACTTCTAATAGGCTTCACAATTTTGAGAAAGAAAAGTCAGTGGCGCACATGACATGACACTTTTTGAGCATTATAAATGTCGCACTTATAGTCACTTTTACTCTTAAAATTTGCCATTTTAGCTATTGACTGCTTGTACTAATCAGCACATAACTTTAATCTTACAATTTTTCAACTGCTCTTATTTTTTTTCGATAGAAACAACTCAGAATGTGATTTTCGAATGTTAGTCAAGTTTGTAAATATTAACTTATGATAAAATACTTTACTTTTTAATAGTTCAAGGTTAATTATGGCTATTATTATTCTGTACACGTGCTTTTTTAATATAGAAATTTAATTTAAATATAAAATAAACCAAAAAGAAATACAAAGCTCTTTAACATACCTATTACTTTTAATACTTGTTTTAGATAAAGATTTGCAATTTGCAATTTTTTTTATTACCGAAGTCTAGGTAGCAGCTACGTCTAGGATCCAAACCAGTAAATTTCAAAAGTTTTTTTCTTATGTGTACGTACTTATGTAATATTTATTTATTTTGTTGACGCTATTATTATTATTAGAAAACGTGACTCCAACACATTCTTTAACAATAATGCGGTAATTTTAAAAATAAACCTTTGTTAAGCTTTAAATCAATAATAGCATTGCGTTAAATCAATTTTAAATTATGTACCTATACCAGGTGTTTATCAAAAGTTGCTCACCCCTATAATTTTTTTTTATTTTTTTCTCGAAACGTCGTCAAATATAATGAAAAGATAGGGCTCTCTAACAATAAAATAAAAAAATACCGGGGGTTAAAAAATCAAAAATTGGGGTCGTTTCCGATGAAACAGGAAGTGACCGAAAAATTGAATACGTCAGTCAATCCTGATTTATGTCCTATACTCACATACCATATCTCGTCAACTGAAAAATTAGAAAAGTCATAGGTGTGCGCTACTTTTGAAAAACACCCGGTATTCCATATACAGGGTTGTTCACCAAATACGACACATTTTGGCATCTGATTCTCGTGAAATATACAAGGCGTTCCATTTAAATTAAACAAGTTATTGCCGTTTAAAGCTAGTAATTATTTAATATAAATTTTTGGACACTCTCTATAAGGTAGTGTAATTTTTATTATTGCAACACAATATCTGATCAATAAATAATCTTCAGCAAATATTTAGTATTAAAAACTTTCATACCCTTGCAGAAATGAAGCGTTAAATTTTTTTACTGCAATTTCACAAAATTAAAAATATTTCAAAAACGGTAAAGTTTAAGCCATTAAGTAAGTAAGCCATAAAGTAAGGTTTAACATACCAAATCTCGTGTAAAAATACAACTATAATATTTTTTACTTATTTGGGACACTACCTATGTATCTCGTAAAAATATTTTTAAATCATAGCTCTAATAGTCCTTCAACGACCCAAAACTTATAATTTGTAAAAATCTAATCGTGTCGTACAATACTCCGTGTCATATGTGGTGAACAACCCTGTAGAACTAACATGGATGTAAAAATGAAGAACAAAAAAATTCAAAAAATTAATAAAAACATGCTAATTGTCTCTAATAATAAAATATAATACTAAGGGCTGGCAAAGGTTAGTCTTGGGTCGAGATTTCCGTATGTAAGAAGAGTACAATGCGTTTATAATGTACTCAACACAGAGAGGACAGTGAACACGTTGCCAAACGTATGAAATGAACCAAGAAACTGTGCACATCGCTAAGAGACGTGGAAGGGGATATAGCAGATTTGTGGCAGTTGACCGGTCGACCCAATCAATACCTCTGTCAGTACTTAAAGTTCTAGGGAAAGGTGTACGTCGTTGTAATTTTCCCTATAGCTTGAATTTTTTAAGTGGAAGCTAGAAAAACTTGCATTTTTGGTAAAAATAAGTGGAATTGAGTGGGTGTTCGATAGTGGTCGCGCTATCAGAACTCTGAATTCAAAAATTGATATCTCGAAATCTATTAGAAATAATAGATTGTAGTTTTTTCAAGAACTTTGTTAATATTTCTGCTGTATTTTCTTTGTAGACAGTATGTGAAAATCTTATAATAAATCTATCAATAAAAAAATTACACGATTGCTGAAAATTGCTATGCTCTAAAAGTAAATGGATGGATTGTTTACAATTTTTGAATGGAAAAAACAACCTTATAGAATTTTTCTTATGTAAACATCGAGGTAAACATATTGTAAAATATCCGATCTTGAAAATAAAAAAAAAGTTTCAATATCTAATGTGGTTCTTGAGTTATGGCCTGTTATGTGTTAAAAAGTTGAGTTTTTAAACTATCGCGATTACTGACGTTTTCTCGTTATAAAAAAATGACACCCTAACGATATCCTTATAATTCAATTTCAGATGCTTAGAAACATTACAAACCTAATGATTTTATCTAGTTATCTCTTGAAAAAAAAGTCTTTTAAAAATAAGCGGTTTGCGATGGTGATTTTACTTTACTTGATAGGGAAAGGCGTATCGGCAACGCCGCAACAGCACACCGTCGCGCGTCGCGTCGGTCGGTCGCATTTCTCTCACTCCGACTTAATAAGATCCCTATGCGATTTACTTCCACACATGCAATTCCGACCCAAAAGTAACAGTTGCCAGCACGGTATAATATAAATAATGTATATATTAATAATCTGAAATAATATATTTACACAAAGAATTCTTGTTATAGATTTTTACACCTGGAAGTCTAGCTATATTAATAAATTTTTGCAACCTACCCAAAGTCAATAAAAACGTAACAGGATTTTATATTGGTATAACCTCGATAAAAATGAATATTCAAATAATATTTTTCCGCGTAAAAAAAGGTGTTGTAACATGTATTTATCGATTTATATTTATAACTTGTCTATATTTTTATCGACGGATCCAATCTGGCGTTAGAGATAAATTGTCAGAATTTAGGGTATTTATAGAATACCTCGTAATAAATGGGGTCTCTTTTTGTCTAACCCATTAAAATACATTGATTTATGACCTACGAAGGTGCTTGATACAGGGTGTAACAGATAAAAAAAAATTGTACTAGTGGTTGTGATTGAAGTATACGAAATAAGTATAAACTCAAAAAAGGCTTACAATATACAAAACTAATTTTCTACATCTGGACATGTCAAAAATGTAGAAAATTAGTTGGCCTAGAAGATTAATTTTCTACGTGTAGAAAATATAAAATTTACTACCTACCCAACCCTGATTGTGGTATTTTTGTCTGTATTTTTATGATCACCCTATATATTTATGTGCATACCATAGAATTTTCAGTTGAAAGGAAATATGCCGACGAGAAAATTAAATAAAGTAGAAATATAAAAAAATTCTGATTAATAGTGCAAACTTATGCAACATAAGTGGCTAACCGCATAATGATTTTCGATTAATAATAAGCAATAAGTATTTGATTTCGATTGTATGATATTGAAACCTGAACTGCATGTGTCTGGGTTAAAAATTAGTAAATTAACATTCTTCTATATAAACAAAGTGCTCTTAGTTAATATTGTTATTAATTTTCTAAAATGTCAACATAATTCTTACGTAAAAGTAATGCTATATAAGGGTAAAATAGACCTAAGGTAGAAAGTATGAGAATATTTTCTA